TGATGTTAACATGCATATGGTTTATTTATTTATTATTTTTAAAATAAATTTTATTTTATCCTATTTCCCCCTCCCCTTATGTCCCTCCCCTCCCTATGTAAAAAAGCTTTGTTTCCATCTTCACTTTTTTTCTTGTGCCTTCCTTCCTTTCTCCCTCCCTCCTCTGTTGTTCTCTTCCTGTATAAACATTTTCTTCCCATTTCCCAATATCTATTTTGTATTTTAGTCCTTGTTTCCACTTTTGGTTTCTCACACCAGAGAAACAATGTGGTATTTAAACATGTGTGTCCAATTTGTTTCACTTAAGAGTATGGTCTCAAGGTCCATCCATTTAGATATAAATGTCTCAAGCTCATCCTTCTTTATGGCAGAGTATCCATTCATCGGTTGATAGGTAGGTATTTGGGCTGTTTCCAAGCTTTAGCTATTACAAACTGTGCCACTATAAACATGGATGTGCATATATCTCTGTGGTATGATTTTTTAAATTCTTTTGAGAAGATACCAAAAGAGGAATACCTGGTTCAAATGGAACCTCTAGTTTTAGTGTTTTTTGAGGAATCTCTACACTGAAGTCCACAGTGGTTGCACCAGTCTACACTCCCACCATCAGTGGAGAAGGGTTCCTTTCCCCCCACAGCCCTGCCAGCATTTGTTATTGGTTGATTTCTTTTTTTTTTAATTGGTTGATTTCTTGATAGCAGCCATTCTTTCTGGAGTGAGATAAAAATCTCAGCATTATTTTAATTTGCATTTCATGAATGATCAGTGATGTTGAACATTTTTTCTTATATTTATTCCCTGTTTCTAATTCTTCATCTGAGAAGTGGCTTTTCATTTCAGATGCCCATTTTTGGATTGGGTCTTTAAATTTGAGGGGTCTGATTTTTTTGAGTTCTTTATATATCCTAGATAATAGTCCTTTATCTGATGAATAGCTGGTAAAATTTTTTTCTATGCTGTGGGCTGTCTCTTCACTCTGTTGGTGGTTTCCCTTGTTGTGTAAAAGCTTTTCAATAAGATGAGGTACTAGTTGTTGATTCTTTGTAGTATTTTCTGAGGTCTGGGTTTTGTTCATGAAATCTTTACCTACTCCTATGTCCTCAAGTGTTGTACCTATTCTCTCATCCAGCAGATTTAGTGTTTTTGTTTTAATATTTAGATTTTTGATCCATTTTGATTTTAGGTTAGTGCATGGTGAAAGATATGAGTCTAGTTTCAATCTTTGCCAAGTGGAAAGCCAGATTTTCCAGCACCATTTATTAAAGAGGCTATCTTTTTTCCAGTGAAGATGCTTGGCTCCTTTGTCAAAGATAAAGTGGTTGAGTGTGTCTGGAGTTGTTTCTGCATCTTCTAGTCTGTTCCTCAGGTCTGTTCTTTTGACAGTGCCACACTGTTTTTGTTTTTGTTTTTTTAATCACAGTAGCTTTGTAGTATAATTTAAAGTCAGGGTTTGTGATACCCCCTGCCTTGCCTTTGTTCCCCAGAATTGCCTTTGCTATTCTAGATCTCTTCTGGTTCCAAATCAATGTTAGGATTGTTTTTGCTAACTCTGTGAGATATGCTATTGGAATTTTGATTGGGATTGCATTAAATCTGTATAACAATTTTGGAAGTATGGCCATTTTCACTGTATTGGTTCTTCTTATCCAAGAACAAGGGATATCTTTCCATTTTTTGATATCTTCTTTCGTCTCCTTTTTCAGAGTACTGTAGTTTTCAATGTAGAGTCTTTTACTTCCTTCATTAGATTGATTCCTAGGTATTTCATTTTTTTGATTGCTATTGTGAAAGGGATTGTTTGTTTAACGTCTCTCTCCATGAGGGTGTTATTCATGTACAGGAAGGCTATTGATTTTTGAGTGTTGACTTTTTATCCAGCTATGCCACTGAATTTTTTGAATCTTCTGTGTAGAGTACCATATCATCTGCAAATAATGATAATTTAACTTTTTTATTTCCTATCCTTATTCCTTTTATTTCTTTCTCTTGTCCAATTGCTCTGGCTAGTGTTTCCAGAACTATATTGAGCAAGAGTGGTGACAGTGGACATCTGTGTCTTGTTCCAGATTTTAGAGTGAAAGCTTTCAGTTTTAGTCTATTTATTATGATGTTGGCTGTTGGTCTGTCATAGATGGCTTTTATCAGATCAAGACAAAGACCATCTATATCAATTTTCTGTAGGGTTTTCATCATGAATAGTTGTTGGACCTTGTCAAATGCTTTTTCCTGCTCTACTGAGAGGATCATATAGTTTTTGTCCTTGACTCTGTTAATATAGTGTATTACATTTATTGATTTGCATATGTTGAGCTATCCCTGCATCCCTGGGGATGAATCCAACTTGGTCATGGTATATAACCTTCTTGATGATTTGGGACATTTTGTTTACCAGTATCTTATTAAGGATTTTTGCATCTATGTTCATTAGGGATATTGGCCTGTAATTCTCCTTTTTGGTTGGGTCCTTCTCTGGTTTTGGAATCAGGGTAATGCTTGCTTCCAGGAATGAGTTTTGGAGTATTGCTTCCTTTTCAGTTTCACTAAAGAGTTTGAGAAGTAGCAGCACTAAGTCTTCTCTAATTTTCTCATAGAATTCAGCAGTGAATCCCATCAAGAGCCAGGAGTTTTCTTTGTTGATAGGTTTTTAATTACATATTCAATTTCATTGGCTGATACTGGTTTACTTAGAATTTCTGTATCTTCTTGATTCAGTTTTGGTAATTTATAAGTATCTAGGAATCTGTCCATTTCTTCTGTATTTTCCATCTTAATAGAATACAGGTTCTTGAAGTAGGTATTGATGATCTGAATTTCTGCAGGGTCTGTTGTGATTTCACCCTTTTCTTTCCCAATTGCATGGATTTGAATCTTTCCTTTCCTTTTTTTTTTTTTTTTTTTGATAAGGTTGGCTAAGCATTTGTCAATTTTATTTAATCTTTCAAAGAACCAACTCTGATTCATTGATTCTTTCTATTGTTTTTAGTCTCCATTGCATTAATTTCTGCTCGGATTTTTATAACTTCCTTCCTCATATGAGCTTTGAGCTTGACTTGCTCTTCTTTTTCTAGAAGCTTGAAGTTCAACATTAGATTGTTTATTTGAGCCCGCTCTGTTTACCTGATATGGGTATTCACTGCTATAAATTTCCCTAGTAAGACTCCTTTTATTGTGTCCCATAAGTTCTGGTAGGTTGTATTGTCATTATTGTTTAATTGTAGAAACTATCTGATTTTTCTTTAATTTCATCTGTGACCCATTGGTTGGTCAGGAGGATGTTATGTAATTTCCATGTGTTTATGAAATTCTTGTGGTTTCTTTTGCCATTGATTTCCAATTTCACTGCACTATGGTCTGATAATATGCATTGGAGAATTTCAATTCATTTCTATTTACTTAAGCATGTCTATGTACTAGTATGTGGTCTATTTTGGAGAACATCTCATGTGCAGCTCAAAAGAATGTATATTCTGACGTTATGGGGTGGAACACTCTGTAGACATCTACTAGGTCAATTTGTTCAAAAGTTTGGTTCAGTTCTAATATTTCATTGTTGATCTTTTTTTTCATTGTTGATTTTTTGTCTAATTGATCTGTATATTTCTGACAGTGGGGTATTGAGGTTCCCTCATTACAACTGTATTAGTGCTTATATGATTTTTCATGTCTGTTAATATTTGTTTCATATATTTGGATACACTGCTATTTGGTGCATTTATATTTATGATTGTTATCTCTTCCTCTTGGATTGTTCCCTTTACAAGGATGTAGTGACCTTCTTTGACTCTCTTAATCAGTCTTGGCTTGAAATCTGCTTTGTCTTCAAATAGAATAGCTACCCTTGCTTTTTTCTGGGTTCCTGTCAAATGGAATACTGTTTTTCAACCCTTGACTTTCAGTCTGTGAATTTGTTTTTGAATTAAATATGTTTCTTGTATGCCGCATATTGTTGGATCTTGCTTCTTCATCCTTTCTGACAGTCTGTTTTTTTGATTGGTGAGTTGAGACCATTAACATTGATGGTTATAACTGATATGTATTGTCTTATCTCTGTCATGTTATTTTCTTGTTGTTGGCTTCTTTCTTTCCTTTTCTGATTAATTTCTTGCCTTGCCTGGTGGATTCATTCTGTTGGGGTTTATAGAGTTGTAATCTTTGTTGTCTCTTTATAGAATATCTTTCAGAACACTTTGGAGTTCTGGTTTGGTGGTGATGAATTTCTTCAGGCGTTCTTTGTCATGGAAGTATCATATTTCTCCATCAATTCTGAAAGATAGTTTTGCAGGGTACATCAATCTGGGTTGGAAGTTGTTTTCCTTTAGGGCTTGAAATACTTCACTCCAAGCTGTCCTTGACTTGAGAGTTTGTATTGAGAAGTTTGCTTTATGGGTGATTTGCTTCTTTTCTCTAACACATTTTAATATTCTGCCCTTGTGTTGAATTTCAATCTTGACTAATATATCCCTTGGGGAAGATTTTTTTTTTATCATGGCTAATTGGAGTCCTATGTGCTCCACTTATGTGTATGTGAAATTCTTTTTCCCTGTTTGGGAAGTTTTCTGCCGTTACTTCTGGGAACAATTTTTTATGCCATTTGTACTTTCTCCTGCTTTTTCATTGACTCCAATCAATCTTATGTTATTCTTCTTTGCATCATCTAACAGCTGCTGGATTGATTTTTCATGGTTCCTTGCTATTTTTAAGAAATTTCTCTTTTCATGATCACTAACTGTAATCCTGTCTTCTATAACTGATATTCTGTCCTCATATTGGCTAATTCTGCCGCATATACTTTCAATGGAGTTTTTCATCTCCTGGATATCTGTTTGAATCTGTTTCATGGATTCCATTTCCTTCCTATGCTGGCTGTTCATGGTTTCCATCATATTCCTCTATTTTTTTTAAATCTGTATCTGCTCTAGAGTCACTAATCATGTCTTTCATTCTGGTCACCATCTCTGTAGTTATCTGGGAAATGATTCCTGCTTTGCTTTTTTCTAGGTCCTTGTCCATGGCTGTGTTACTTTTGCTGTTACCACTTCAGAGAGTTCCAGGTGGGTGGCCTTTTGGATTGTTCCACCTCATTGCCTCCAGGATTTGCCTTTGGTGAGCTGAAAGTCTGGGGGGAGGTTGCATCTTGATTAAGTGTCTTCTTATTTTTTTTCTTTTCTTTTTTAAAGTTTGATTCCTGGGTTGATGCTTATAAATTGCTTATGGCAAGTAGCTTTATTGCCAGTATCCAGAACCCTTAGGAAATGACTACTTCTTAAAAGTGTTTTCCAGGCTTTTGGGTTTTGAGTCTGTTGCAAGATCCTGCCTCTCTCTCTCTATTTATTTGGAATGAGAAGTTTCTGCCTACATGGCCCAGCCACCAGTACTTTGGCACTGGCCTATAGAGTTTTGTTTTGTTTTTTTCTAAAAACCCTTAGGCATTCTCAGTCTTGGTATACCAGGACAAATAATGAATTAGCACAATTATGTCACCTTGGCTAAAGTAGTATGATCAATAATAACAAGAACATCAAATACAGCCTAGAAAATGACAAACTGTGGTAACTATTCATTTGCTACCTTTAACTGAATAAACTAGATTTGTAGTTATAATAACAATATCTAGAATGAATCTGAAAATTGTGTGCAATAAATAACCCCTTAATATGGCAATTTTACTCTTAGGAGAGAAGATTTAAAATGGGTTAGGGGTTTTTAAAAAAAAGAGAACTAGAAGAAGAGGAAGAGATCAGAAGCAAGGCTGGAGGACAAACTTTAGGAAACTGGTGAAGAAGACAGGTGAGAAAGAGAAAAGAAAAAAATAAAAAATAAAAACAAGAACAGAACAACAAAATCTGGGCCAGGGATTTAGCTCAGTGGCACTGCGGCTGCCTTGCAAGTGCAAGATCCTGAGTTTGATCCTTGGTACTGAAAAAGAAAAAGGAAAAGGAAAAGAAAAGAACCAGAAAGGAGGGAAAAAAAGGAAAAGAAAAAAACACAAAGAAAACAAAAAACCCAAAAAGTCCAATTCAAGATGTGTCTCTGCCGTCACTAATAGGCAGCATGGGCAAAGAGTTAGAGCTCAGTTGATTAATCCTAGAACACCAGCCACAGCTTCATGTTGGGTTAGTGGATGATCCCAGTCAGCCTGCCCTCTTATTTCTCCTGAAGTTCAGGTCAGTTTCTGTCTATGAGGCTGGAACTGGATTCCTTGAGCCTACAACAGTCTATGTATCTCCTGCCAACTTGAACTCCACTCCCTGGCCTCCCGCTGTCTTGAATTCAGCACCAGCACCAAGGCACCCAGAGCCACTAGATAGGGTCAGCCAGAAGTTGTTCTGAGTTCTGAGCTCAGCTGGCCCCTCTCCAAGATGGCTACCAGCCAGAGGAACAGAGCTTCGTGGGTGCCAGCAGCACCGCTCCCCACCACCCCCACGGCTGGGCTGTGCCAGTACCTGGATCCACACTGCAGAAGTGCAGGGGGTCATAAAGGCCATGCCCTGAGCTCAGAAGATAGAGCAGAAGTAAACAACCGAAAGAGGGCCTCTCTCAGGCTCCCTCATGAAAACTGAAGCCCACTGGAAAAGGGAAGAGAATCTCTGCAATAAAGGCACACCAGACCACCTTACTTGGTAAATTGGAGGGATCATCACCTCCCATCAGAACCTGGACTATCTTCAGGGGAAGGGCAGCTGGAACCTGTAGTAGAACCTTGCAGAGTTCAACCCAGCAGGAGGTCAGAGAGCTCAACTTGGGCCTTGCAGCCAGAAATCAACCTGAATCTCAGGGGGCTGGTGTTGGCTTGCTGAGACTCATTGACTTAGATCTGCACACAGCTGCCCATGTTGTCTATTGTGACAGCAGAGACATCCCCTGAAGCAGGCCCTTTATTTTTATTTTTTCTCTTTTCAAATTTATTTTTTTCTTGTCTCTCTCTCTCTCTCTACCCCCCTTTCTTCCATCTTGTTCATCTCTCTCCCTTTCTGTTCATGTTACTGTCCTAATTCAGATTTCTTTTTTCTTTTTATTTTCTTCTCTCTTTTTCCTTCTCTCAATTGCCATTAGTTTTAAAGGAAAGTGAAAATAGTTTCTAGCTTCCCTATTGCTGTTAGGTTGTTCTGTTCTTGTCTTTGTTCTTTCATTTTGTCTTTTGCTCTTGTCTTCAACAGTTTCCTAGAGTTTGTGTGATCTTCCTGTGTCCTCTGGTCTCACTTCTAACCTTTCCCTATCCTTCTAACTATCCCTCCCTCCCCAACTCCTTCTAAGCCCCCATCCCAAAGAGGTAAGTTGCTATATTGAAGAGTTTGTTCTCTATAAACATATTCTGGGCTGGTCCTCGATTTTGATTTAATTCACACAGATAAAGGTGATAGATTAATAGCAACCACAAATTGTCATTTTCGAAGCTGTGCTTGATGCTATTGTTGGTGCTGATTGTATCACTTGGGCTAAGGTGTTGTGATTGATATAATCAGTTGTCCTTCCTGGTATACTGAAAATGAGATTGCCTAAGAGTCATTAGAGACTCAAAACCTAAAGGTAGCTACCGGCCAATCACCCTCTCCTGTGTGAGGTCTGAACCAGGATAACTCACCAACCACTGCAGTTTGATGCATCAACTACTCTGTTCCACTGGTGCATCTCTACATGCAGGCCTCTGGGGTTGCTAGTAGTCACAAAGCACCTGCATGTTTGGCCCACTGTTCCCTCACCAAGTGTCAGGGTTCTAGGAGAGAGCGCTGCTTGCTACCTCCCTCCTCTTTATTAAAGTCTCTCTCTTTGCTCTCCCTGTGGACCTCAGTTTTTACCTGAGATCCCTCCTGGGTCCTGAGGACCCACTTCCCACTTTATTCTCCCCCCTGAGCTGCTGTATTCCAATGCCAAGACACCAAATCTCAGAGAGGCTCTTTCTCTGCTGCTCACCACTCCACTGTATTCCCAGAAATCTCCCTGTTCTAGCTATTCTTGGCCCTTTGCATTTCCATATAGAGTACAATATTGCTATACAGATCCTCTGTGATTCAATTTCTATTATCCATTTGTTCTTCCTTGATTTTCTGTATGAATTACTCAGTGGCTTATCAGTGCTTCTCCAGTGATAAACTCCAGGTCTCTAATCACAGCATGAGCATTGCTTTGCTTTTCAGTATTACTCAAGACGCAGTCAAATGCTCATATATTTCTTGGATATTCAGATGTTCACTGAATATCAAATCTTTTGACCATTTAAAAAAGAATTATGATGACTTTTCTACCTTTTCTCATTTAGAAGAGTTCTTTTTCTTCAATGAAGACAGAAATTATCTCTTCACATCGCCTACTAACCCTCATTTCCCAATTTGCAGTCTAGCACCATCAAACTGCTTATAGTATAACTATACACGTGTTATTTTTGGCTACTCTGGTTTCCCTACCTGGAATACCCATTCCATTCCTTTGGAAATTTGCCAACTGTTACTTACTGGGCCAGATTTACTTTAGTTTTCCTTTCCTTTCAGAACCTCATCCTCAATCCCCCGTGGTTATGATGGCTTCTCAGCCCATCTCCACTTGGAACTTGCCTTCCCAACTTGAAGCTTTTTACAAGTCTGGTTTATCTTGTGTGTCTTTTTCATATTTGTGCACTATAACCTTGCACAATTTTTGCCTCATGTTAAATATTCATGTCAGTCAACATTGATGGCAATCTCCAATCTAGATAATTCTTGTGCCCCAACAGCTGCTGAAAAACCTGAGGTCTTATTTGTATGTTTGCTTCAGCAGTTTTCATGTTTGATGCTAATTTTTTGCATCAAAATAATGGAATAATAACCCCCAATCATCAGTAGCATGCTAAGGGCCTCTCGTTTTCTAATGAAACTGTGAATGTAAGACCAATTAGAGACTTCTTTCTTAGAGACACTTAGAAATTTACTCTTTTTTGGCCTTCAGCACTTCTGTTTGGGCTTTCTTCTTAGATCTACATGGGCCAATCTAAATTCAGAGGCTCTTCTAACAAAACTGGAGCTGTAAACCCCAGTTGAAACTCTTGACTTAAAACTGTGCTGCCTTAGACTACTTATTTAAAAAGGAGACATAATTCAAACAGCATCTAATTTTTAATGGAAATCAAATGAATGACTTAGCCTTCCACTTTTAATGATGTCCAAACAATACCCAACATGTTTCAGTGCAGCTCTGAATGTTCCTTTACTCAAATTATTTATATTCTCTGCCGTCAGTCTCAGTGGACTGGATTGAAATCCTACATGGGGAAGGACAAACTATTTTCAGTCACCTTGATGACATCAATAAGGTACAATACCTTTCTCTCTCTGTGATTGCATTTCTTTGCCTAAGTGACATTTAGCCTTCATGTATATTTTGGAGGAAAAATCAAGTAAAAATATATTGTACTGCTAGCCAGAAGGAGTTGTTTCTTGTACTCAAACTGGATTGTCCCAAAGAAGTGTTTCACTGAAATATTTACTTCAAAACGGCACTGTTCTGCAGCAGTGAGACTTCCAGTTAAAACATTTAATTAGTTCCGAATTTAGATGGCCAAAATGATCAGTCAGCCTGTGTTTTGGAACCTGAGTTTGTACATTCCTTGGGACTGGTAAATGAGTTCTGCCCAGTGGATGTGGTCAACTGTGAATGGTTTGTATGCAGTTCATATCACAGAACAGATTTTTCTCCAGCCCTTGAAGGACAGTTAGAAAAGGTTTGGGAAAAAGAGGATAATTCAGAGGTAATACTTCCCTGTATTCTCCTGAGCCAGTAATGAAGGTTTCTTTGGTTTTGGGAGTCTCAGAGGCCAGGAAGACTAAATGGAACTGAAATGAGCAGGGTCACATTTGTACTGGTTAGATTTTCTTCTCACTTCCCTTCAAGGTAATCATGACCCTGGGTAGTGACTTTTGACACACTTGGTATTAAGTAAATATTTTGTAGCTAGTACTGTATAAATAAATTGCTATGGGAGGGAGAAGAAGAGAGAGAGAGGAAAAATATGAGTGTTGTGTATCTGTGACAAGTTCTGTTCTTCAATCAAGTCCACCTTCATGTTTATTTCTGTAGCATA